TGCATCAGATTCACTGAACTCACACTTAATACTCAACACCAGAACTGTGTGTTTCAGAAGGAGCTGGTGGAGAAACAAGCTACAGAACAAGACGTACTGCACACTCACTGAAAATGTTACATCTTCTTTTGCAGGTTCAAAGTTTTACAGTACAGCAAACAGTACTGCTGAGAACAGAGCGTGCAGTATTTGGGGAAGTCTTATTATACAGAACAAGCAGTGAATCATGAACGCAACATCTTATTGACTTATCAACCTTTACACACATCAAAGTGGTTGTCTCAAAAAAACCCCCCCCCCCCCACTTCAAATTGAGCCACAATAATTCTATGGATTCCCACATTTCATGCTTGATTTCATATTTCTCTCCACATTTACAGCAAAGCAGTTGTGTTTGCTTCAGCAATTTACATTAATGGCTCTTGGAGGTTGTTTTTTTCTTCTATGGAATGGACAGCCATAACATGTAGGAAGCTGCTTTACAAAAACATTTCTACCATTTGTCACACATGCAGTTTTGCTTCATCTGGGGATATGAGATTTTCTATGGCATAAAGGATTTAGAGACATAACTGCATTACACCATCCACTCTGTAAACATTATTTAGCAAAATCATTTTAAAAACATTTCATAACATGGTGGAAGGTCAGTACAGCGCAGTTATATTACTGCTGTTATCTTTTAACTCTTCATTCTCACCATCCTACACTGCATCAGCACATATAGTTGCAGATTCACAATATCACAGTCAATCACTGCAGCAGGTCAACTGCTACTGAATATATACAGTATACACACACACACACACACAGACACACACACACACACACAGACACACACACACACACACAGACACACACACACACACACACCAGCCATAACATTATGACCACTAACAGGTGAAGTGAATAACATTGATCATCTCGTTACAGCGGCACCTGCCAGTGTGTGGGGTATATTAGGCAGCAAGTGAACATTCAGTTTTCAAAGTGAATGTGCTGGAAGCAGGAACAACAGGCAGCGTAAGGGTCCGATTTTGACGAGGGCCAAACTGTGATGCTGGGGTCAGAGCATATCCCACACTGCAGGTATTGTTGGGTGTTCCTGGTCGGCAGTGGTTAGTATCTACCAACAAGGCTCACTGATGATGAGGTTGACCTACCATAGATTAAACTTTTAAATGTCATTCATCCTTTTCAAAAGATTGCATTTTGTTTGAATCTTGGAAGCAAACAGATTCACAGAAGGTGCACAGTGAGCTACAGAGTGACACGAGTGCCGACCAGCTACTACATCGACTCCTGTGTGGTCATAATGTTATGGCTGATTTGGTGTAGGAATTAAAAAGACAATTGGTAAAAATTAAGATATATTGCTTAAATGTATAAAACCTGCTCCTGCTCAGTTCTTTCCACTCAGGAGTTTGCGCTACAGCCTTACATTGTCTGATTAGCCTAGTTTAGACATTGCTGTTGCATAACTGATAATACTGAGTCACTTTGCTGACTTTATGACCACGCTCTACATGTGCTACTATTACACACTGTTTTAGCTCACTCAGATTACTTAATTATGCCGTCTTCAAGGCAGCTGACTTGAGATGCACTTGGAAAATGCAAATGCAGAAGTGACAGCCCTAACCACAAGCAGCAAACACTGGGAGCTTCCTTTGCAGGTGTGTGTAGTGGAGTAAACACAGAGCTGCATGCAACAACATCTTATAGCTCAACAGGACCTTCTTTCTTCATTAACATTCCTTACGTGCTCTTGTAAAGTGCAAAGACAGCTCTCCAGTGCAAACATGCAACTGGGTCCAAACTGCAGATGTGTTTGTTTTAAGCTTCATGCAGCCAAACTTTTTGAATTTATGCTCTCAAAACAATGTTCCCCTTCAAAGAAGTGTTTGGGGGGGCCACAATGCTTGGCACAGACTGACAGGGCCAGACCCACTGTTCACTTTTATAATAACTTAGCAGGGCCTGACCTTGGATGTCACAGGTAAGGTGTGAAGTGAATTTGAGCATGACATTTATGGGACATATCTGCTGTAAATAATTGGAGGGCCCTGGGTCTTCTAGTTAATGGGGATGTCAGGGAGAAGGTGAGGCTCTGTCTCACAGTGGAGGAGAGAAAACATGAGTGTGTGCATATGGTAAGAGCAACGCATTTGTGTGAAATTTTATTCATCCTCAAGTTATCAGCAGTTTGATAGCAGATGTCACTATTGTAATGTGACAGCTTCACTAATCAGTCTGTTCCCGCATGTGTGACAAAAGCAGAATAAAGGTCAGTGCAGCGCAACCTTTAGGCAGTGTCAGCTTGCTACAGAACACACGCGATACACAGTGTCAGGGTAGAGAAGTTGCCCTTCTACACCCCATCATGATCGATCTGCTCTTTAGGCTTTACTCTCCTCATTCAGTGACTATTAAGTAAATTGGTATCTCAGAAACTGCAGTGTTAACACAGTGTCTTTAAAAAGAAACCACTCATTAGGAGAAATTAACACCCTATAATGTAGTCACGTTAATGGTTGGTATTCTACCTAAGCTTAAAAATTATGCAGCAGGCCCGGGGAGGAAATCGCTCAGCAAGAACAATCCAAAAAACGTAAAAGACATTATCAAAAAATGTTAGCTTCAGGAGGTTTTTCCTGCTTTTGCTCTTTTTTTTTTAACTGGTTATGGGTCATTTACCACAAGATTTTAATTATTTTCATTCATCTTTTGATTGTCAACAGTTGGCACAGGTTATGAATCTTTGTCCTCAAACCACTTTGGCACAGTAATGATTGAACAAGCTTAAGTCCAAGTCTTTGATTATCTGAATATGCAAAGCCAGAGTAATACTGAAATTGACTCTCTTCCTTCTTGAACACGATTCAGAAGTTGAAGCAAGTTTTCTGTCGGCCCGTTCGTACATTTAAGCTGAGCAAGTAAGTTCGGAGTTGTTCTGTTAACTCTGTCAGACTTCACTCTGAATAGACCCATATTTTTTATGTATCCAAACTTATGGGATAAGATCTATGTCATGATTCTAGGTTTTGCAACGTTTATGAAATCTAGCTGATGGATAGAAATGCTTCTTGCTTTCAGGTTTTTTTTTCCAGTCTTTTAGCACCACACTGTGCCTGAAATAGGCAGTACAGTACAGTGTGTTTGCATGTGTGTCAAGTTAAATATTTGAGGCATGTTTTCAGAGACTTTAGAGTGATTCACTACACCTAAACATTTTAAGGCCAACATGAGTACAGTAAGACAAATGTGTCTGTGAGTAACTGAGTGGGATATTCAGAGGATGAACCATAGCTCTGTAAACACTGTCACACCAGAAAAGAGGAACCATGCTGTGACCATTCATGTGATGAGGTGCTTTTGTTTAGCCTAGCTATTTATCCCCTTTTTGCCAATTTCCTTGTCAGTGTGACAGCTACATACCCTCCTCTGCAACCACGTTTACCAGCCATCTCTGGAAAAGCATGCACCCCACCAATGGTGGAACAACACAGCACCAGGCCCAGTGCAGACTACTGGGCAATCATCCCATAATTCAGTTCCTATGAAAAGGCACCCAGTCGCTTGTGCAAACAGACTACCAGCCACCTTCCCACATATAGCTTCACTATAATCAATCAGAAAACAGCACATGCTAACAAGCAAAATGAACATCAACCAACAAAAAGGATATGGACTCTGTGGCAGAAACAACATAGAAAATGAAACAGTGAACAACAAAATGCATCAAAACCACTGTATGTTACACGTGGAGCTGTATAAGCAAAATAAACAACATAAGTTCAGTCCAACAGGTGTTATAGGCTCATTCAAAACAGGGAGTTTGTGCATTTTTAACACCGCCTAATGTAAACGCACACAAAACTGCATTGCTACATGGTAACTTTCAGCCATCTTCCTCGGTATAAAAATAGCACAATACTGACAAACAAAAATGACCAATAATAAAGAGTGGTAAAGACTGCGGAGAAGGTCACTAGGACTCCACTGCCCTCTCTGCAGAGCATTTACCACCGCAGGGTGTGTAGGAAAGCTGCCTCCATCCTCAAAGATCCCACCCACCCCCAGCACGGACTGTTCACTTCTTTGCCCTCTGGCCGGAGGTTCAGAAGTGTGAAATGTAGGACCACTAGACTGAAAAACTCTTTCTTTCCCTCTGCCATCAGACTCCTAAACAGCTGAGGAGTTTATGTACTGTTTACATTCTGTTTGCACATGCATAATTGCACAATGACTGTTGACTGCTGCTCCCATGCAGCATACATTCTGTTATAGTCTTGTATATATATATATTTTTTTACTATATTGCTGTATCTACACTGCTTAAAGTGCCTTAGATTTTGTGCCTCAGATTTTGTGTTATTTATTTAACTACTTTACATTTCATTTGTATTTTGTGGCATTCATGTGGACGGCAAGGTAAGAATTTCATTGTACAGGGAAACACGTTTCCTAACTGTGCATATGACAAAATAAACACTTTGAACTAAACTGAAAAGCTGCGACACTGTCGGACATGAGCAGACAGCTGTGGCTATTTAGCATTCAACGGCAGATTGAAACACTGTTGTGGAATATTACACAAACATGTACAAGCAAAACAAATTTAATCACTAGTGCATCAACAACCACAACTCACTTCAGCGAGTTTGTAAATTCTGAACGCCACCTAAAGTAAACACACAAACTGTGCTGCTACATCAATTAACTTGCAACTAGTCAGCAACTGGAAAAAATGACTGTACACCTATTTGAAAGACTTTCATTTGTCTTGGTCAAATTCCTTTTGTTATAATGTTCAAATATGTAAAAGTGTATTGAACAGCTCCGTGGTAATGGAGGGGGACGTCTGTGTTGCTAGCCAGCCGGCGTCTTCTTTTGTTATTAGCTAACGTTAGCTCGTCTTTCTCCCCGTTTGCTGACAACCAAAAACATATGAAAAGAAGAAAAAAAAGTCAAGTTTCTTCAATTTTAAAACGCCGTACCTCAAATTTCGCCTCGCTTTCCTCTTTGAGCACCGCCCTTCCCACTGTATGTCCGTGGCACTTTGAATAAACGCACATGTTTCGCCCTAAGCTAAATTTCTACACTAGTGAATGGGAGGGTGTGTTGGATTTTATAACTTCGCAAGCTCTGTGGGTGGTACAAATGCAGCCACCACCTGTAAGTAAAAATCAGGTAATTAGTCCCTTAAGTGACGTAGCATTGCTGCGCATTGTTGATTTAAACTATTAGAATATGCAGGTCATCCTGGGGGTCCGCCTGGGCCAGGGTGCAAGAAAAGCACCCGGAAGTCTAAATTAATTTAGAAGCATTTGGTGAAACTTGGTCACATGCAATTGTAAGTTCACTCAACTTTGACATTTACACATCCAATATTAGCATATAAAGACTTGAGTTTTACTTGTTTATTAACATAATGAAATAGGATTTTCACTGTGACTGGACAAAAAACGGAGTTATAGCTGTTTGATGCTTTGGTTTAAATCAATGGTCTTCCATACTTTGCCTGCATAGTCTCATTTTCTCTTTAAATAGTATTGTTTAAATCAGTTCTACAAAAAACAAAAGAAACAAAAAGATGCTACCAGTCCTACTATAATTTTCCAGCAATCCATCATCCACGGCATATTAATCACAGACTGGCTGCCATCCATGCTGGCTTTGCAGAAAGAACCCCTTGGAGATAATCAGTTTTTCATCACCATCAATGCGACAAATGCAGATGTGGATGTGATGGGTAAAGCAAAAGACAGATGTGTGTTGATTAAGTCTCTATGTTCAACTGCATGTAGAGTCATTTGAGATTTGTTGCCTGTTTTGTATGTTAATCCGTAACTTCATACTGCTTGGCTGTCTCTCTAATTTACAGTGGGAAAAGCCTTTCATTTAAACATGATGTGCAAGGACAGTTTTTGAAAAGCTGATTTTATTTAAGAGCAACTCCTTTTTTTGATAAATGTGAAAAAGGCAAAGGTCAACTATAATCTAGAAAATCTGATATCAAAATTGATGTTTTGTGATCTGAGAAACTGTTTTCCATACACTCCAAAGTCTGAGTTAAAGTGCTTGAACATTGAGCCTGGGTGCTGTCGACTATAAATCATTTTCTTTCTGACAGTCTCATGCTCTGCATTCATGGCCCTGTGTAAGTTGTCCTAAACCTCACTCGTTAGTCACAGATCCCTTGAGAGTGTCAGCGGTGCCAACCTGGTGATGTCTTTTGAAAAAAAAGTGTTTTCATGCTACAAATACAGCCAATGTCTATTTGTATTATAGAACCCGTCATCTTATAAATGATGTATATGCATCAAGTGTCACAATTTATCCCCAATGAAACAGATGCCAGCTAAGGTCAGTTAGTTTTGAATGAGACCGACAGCCAAGTACATTTGCCTACAGATGCAGCACTGAGTGTCAATCTGCATCACAGACACCATATTCATTTCTGGCAATAAGATTACACTGTAGGCCAAGTCAGTGTTGTGATGTTTGACATGACAGCACCACCTAGTGGTGCGATCTATGAAATCAACACACACAACAGAGAAAAAGACAAGATCAACAACCTGTCTAGTAACTAAAGAGACAATAAACTGTTGGCATTTCTTTAATAAACATTTGTCAAAGGAAGAGGACAAATTAATTTTAGTACAAAAAAAAAAAATTTTTTTTTCTTTCTGAATTTAGGTTACATGTGTGTTTTGTTCATGATTTTACATCTATTGGCAAAAAGGCATGTCGATATTCAAAGTAAAAACAGCCTCTCTCTATGAAGTCAAATCAAGTTTGCTGCAGTTGTCCAAGTGCTACCTGTGTCTCTGGAACTAACAGTCCTTTTCCTCAAATAGCTCCCTGTGCTGACGTCTAAGTCATTAGCCCGATTCAACTGAGCTGTCATCGTTTCAACATAATATGGCAATAAAAAGGACCCTACGTTACTGGTCCTATTCCTAACTGTGCAGATGCAGCACATCAGTCATTTAATTTCATTGCTAAAATAGTTTTTGCCTACTTCAGGTCAGTAGTGCAAAAATTAATACTAGTCTGCCCTGGAACAATTACAGAAAGGCTAAGGTAGAGATTTAAAATGTACCCTGCCTGATAATGTACACTCAAAAAATTCAGAGTTTAATTTAAGAGGGCAGAACAGATTACAAAAAATATGAAAATGGTATGAGCAAGAAAAGCTCCTCTTATGTTATTCAGCTGTCCTGCTGCAAAGTAAGCCACATTCCAGACTCAGGAGGAATGCAATGCCTTACACAGATTTAAGTGTGCATCTACAGATCCTCGTGGTCTTAGAGGCTTCAGGCTCACAAGAGTCTTCTAACCTTATATGCATTGTCACAAACTGCCATTTCACATTTCCAGTCTTTCAGAAAGGCATTCCTCGTCCTCTGATTGTTGCTGTTGAGTTCACGTGTGGGACAAAGCCAAGGGGTAGTGGTGGAGCCCCGACTTGAGAAGGGGAGCACCAAGGATGTCCTGGTGCTGGGATGGGTGGCGGAGGGGGTACACTGTCCTTTCTAGGCATGACATGGTTGTACAGGTGGATAGTGCTGGGGTTCGGCTGTCCCTCCATAGGTAAGGGGCTGTGATTGTACTCAAAACGGTGGTCCTTGTCCCCAGTGAACACCATGCTGCTGGGTCCAGAGACTCCTGTGCCTGAAGGGAAGGGGTCTGGGTGGGCCGGGGCCAGAACCCTTGCACTAGACGAGGAGCTCGAGGCCTGGCCAGATCCGCTAAACACTTCTCTCAAAGTGTGAGGTGGCAGGCCTCCACCTAACATGTGACCCATGTAGCTGTCCCCAAACCCTGCAGGAGTGTAGGGTGGAGGCAGTGAATGGCTGTACTCTCCGCCATATCCAGGTCCTTCTGCAGTAGGGAGAGGCGGGTAGTCCGGTTCTGGAGGTCCCCCTCCATCACCTCCACCTGCAGGAGCAACAGGGGGAGCATGGCCCATCTTGGGCTCAGGTGGAGGTTGCCGGTAATCCAGGTCGGCATGTGGAGGTGGCTCTAAAGGCTCTGGTGGTCTCTGGTCTGGGGGCAGGATAGAAACTCCACCCACTTCAGACACTGGAAAACAAAAATTACATTAAATTAGATATTCACCTTGTAACAAAATGTCATGTCTGTTCTATTCATTTTCTTGATCTGTTTCCTGCCTTATTCACAGACTATTTGCTGTGCTGTTATAGCATGAATTTGCCTGCATTTTTCCAAGTTTTACCTTAATAAATTGTTTGGAAAAAGTGGATTTATAGTTTCACACCAATTATAATTGGCAGACCTTGAGCCTTCTGCTAATGCACTTCACTGTTGGCCAGTTTTCCAGGAAAACATTTTTGGCCTTTTTCATAATTTTTCAGGATTCCAAGCAGAAAGATGTTCAGTCTATGCTCATTTGTCTCACTGAATATATTTAAAGAGCTACCTGGAGAGACAGGGCTGGGCTCTGGAGGTTGTTTGACCTCTGGAGGTACAAGTGGTCCCCCTGGTGCTGTTCCTGCAGGGTTTGTCATCTCCGCTCCTTCTCCACCTTCGCTCAGTTCCTGCCTCTGAGCCTGTTGAGCCTGAAAGAGTTGCGCTAGCAGCATCGTCATGGCTGTCTGTGTAGCAGCTGCAGCCTCTCCTTCTGGAATACCTGACGGTGCCGACATAGGGGGTGAAGGAGGCTTGGGCATTGGAGGTGTACGGGGCAGTCCTGCAGGAACAGCAGGCTGAGGAGGCTTGGCAGGTGTAGGTTGAGGAGGAGGAGGCTCAGCTGAGTCTGTGGGAGCTAGGGCTTTAGATAGTTGCTGTAATGTCTCCTGGTTGACCTTTGTGCTCATGGACTGGACAAACTGGGTCATGTTGACAGCACTCTTGGGCTGGCCAAAGAAGTTCAGGAGGATCGCCAGCTGCTCCTGCGTCAACTGGGAGTTTGGACCCTTTGGGTCTGTAAGGAGACAGAAAATTAACCCGAGCATAGAGGCTGTTTCCACAATCTATGAGACATATCTGGGATATTCATTTACTACCTTTTCCTGAAACTTCTGGCCATATCTGAGATTTGACTGAAAGCTCAGAAATGTTTAATCATAAAAAATGTGCTGTACATCACAAATGACTTGTAATATTTTAGAGACCTGACAATTACAATGACACACAATATCACTGTATAAGTCGACTGACTATAAGTCGACGGGAGCATGTCAGTCATCACAAAGTTAAACGGGTGTGAACTTAAAGTTCAATAGTATTGTAGAAAGGAGCTGACTAAATGAGCTTGGCACAGTTTGTTGTGTATACACACACCTTCTAAAGAGCTGTGACCTTCAGAAGGAATGGAAGAAACAGCTTAACTGAGTGGTTAGTGAAGTGAATGAGTTACATTGTGGAACCATCAAACACTGAAATAGGTCCAACATGATAAAGTCCAACAAAACGCGCATGTTTAAACACATATTTCTAAGATGTGGATAGATGGAGTTACCTGATCATTATGTACACCAGTTGTGCTTGTTTTGAATTCATTAAAATTATACTCAAATGCTCGCATACTTCATTTGTATTTCACACAGTTATGAGCAACTCAAAAGTTCCTTATTTTTGAGTAATAAGACAGTACAACTACAAACAGTCAAACTTACCGAGCAGCACAGAAGCAGCTGCGTTCTGGGCTTTGATACCTCCAGCAGCTGGGAAGCCCTGAGGAGTGTTACTGCGGCTGTCATCAAGGCCAAGCTCTTTACGGGGAACCTTAGGGGCTGTAAGTTCTTCTGGCATCTGCTTCTGTCGCCGTCGTTTCTTACTCCACAACTCATGACAGTCCTGCCACAGTGGAAGACTGGAGGGACAGAAATTAACATGGTGAGTAAAGATTAAGGATAGAGTAACACTGGATCAACACAGTAGGACCAACATGCTGATGTAGCATAAACCAAGACATACTCTGGTGGGGGCATCTTGTCTGGGTCCACATCCTTGAGGAACTCACTGCCCAGTGCCTGTTCAGCTGTGCAGCGTTTGCTGGGGTCCAGATTTAACATGTGGTCAAACAGATCCAGGGCAGACTGAGGGATGCTGAGCAACAACAGAAGTACAAGGTCACAGTAAAATACAGGTCAGAAGGTCCAATCCGTAAATGTATTATAATAAAACGGGAATGCTGACTCACAAAGCAAACTCCTCTCGTAACCGTCTTCGGTATTGTTTCTTTGGTTTCATGGTGTTGAAAAAGGGAAGCTTTATTACATCTGGCCAGACAGCAGGACAGGGGCTACCACATATCCGGCTAAAAGACAGAAATCCATTTATTAAACAGAATGCAGCAATCTATGGACATAATGGGCTATAGTGACTTCCCACCTAACCCATATAGACTTCTGACAACTCCCAAAGAACTGGCCTGGTCCTTGCTACTTAAGCATGAAACACATCTGCCTTCAATAGAGCTCATTTTCTCTCCTCCTTCACTACTATTGTTTTACCTTGCAAAGTGAGGAAGTAAATGAGGGAACAACAAGTAAAATGGTACAACTGTGTTTCTTCTGTTTTATTGCTGACAGCTAAAATGGACTGTACAAAATGTCTGGGTTTCCCACAGTTGAGGCTGCCCACACTTAATTAAATCACACCCTTCACCTTTCTTCTGACAAGGGCAGTCATGAGAAAACAAGTGAGGTTAATCAAAACACTTCTTGTGGCTGTGTGGCATATTGGCTGACTATCAGTAAGAAAATGAGTACAGCTTTTGCTTTACAATAATATAACTGAAACCAATTCTCAATGTACATCTCTAGTTGTAGTGGTTGCACTACTACATTGGAAAGAAGTCTAGAGTTCAAAACTAAATCTAAAATTAAGACATTAGCCGTTTCACCTGATTCCGCCCACACTTACCTTATAAGCTCTAACTGGGCAAGCTCCTGATTAGCTTGAAAGATAGGTTTCTTTGTGAACAGTTCTCCAAGAATGCATCTATGATAGACCAAAGAGGATGCAACTCATGATTACGAGGATAAAACTGTGACAGTCCTGACAGATAACCAAGTTATACAGGTCAACATACGTTTACATCAGTCCTGCTCTTACCCGCAGCTCCACACATCAATAGCTGGTGTGTACCTCTCTTCTCCCAGGAGCAACTCTGGGGGACGGTACCATAGTGTGATCACTTTATTGGTGTATGGTCGACTGGAAATGGAAACAAGGGTGAAAATAATTGTGATGACTGATTTTTCACAACAAAACTTAGCTCAAAGATGTGGTGTGTATCTACCAAAGCTCACCTCTCTTCAGAATTATACAACCGAGCAAGACCAAAGTCTGCAAGCTTTATTTGTCCTCTGATTAGGGGTAAAAAAAAAAAAAAAAAACAACACTCGTTACATTTAGCCATAAACCATGCTCGACGATATAATTAAACATCACAAGAACATTCATACAGGTTGAGTGCAGCTATCCCCGGCAACTCACTTGTTGTTGAGGAGGATGTTGGAACACTTGATGTCTCTGTGCAGAAAGTTCTTCTTATGGCAGTAATCAAGGCCCTCCAGTAACTGCCGCATAAAAGACTTGATGTGGCTCTCATTGAAATGAACCAAGCCAGACTCGAGCAAACCCATCAGGTCATGGTCCATGTATTCAAATACAAGATAAAAAGCACCTGAAGTTGAAGAACAAAAATTTCAAAAGACATCACAAGATCAAGTATCAAACAAATCTATGTTGTGTGGCAGGATCACAGGGCCACAAAGCATGTTGCACCTTTATCATTCTTGAAATCCAGAGCGTCCTCCTTGTCTGTGACAATCTCCTTCATGTTGATGATGCTCTTGTGGTTGAGCTGTCGCAAAATTTTAATCTCTCTGATGGCTGTAATTGGGAAGCCTTCCTTTTCATTGTCCAGTCGAACCTTCTTCAAAGCCACCATTTCAGCTATGATACACAGGAAACAACAGCATGTCAAGACTAGATCAAGAGCAGGTCTCACCCAAAACAAATTCCTAGATGTGCCAGCCTAGGTGTAACAATCCATCAGTCTGGATCAATGCATACATCAAATAACCAGTGTCATAAATGCAAAGCGTAAACAACAGCTACTACTCTGGCTGGGAATTCACACTAAAAACATAAGTGCAAGTGAACCTCATTCAGTTAACACCACCTCTGACCTCCATTCAATATCTGTCGTCAGAACAGCGGTCAGCAGGTCATAGACTGGAGAAACGGACTTCACCAGAATGACTGGTAGCAGACGTACCAGACAAGAATAGTTTCCAAGTAGGCTCATTAGGGGGGGGACCATAAAGTTCACAGTGACACGAAGAGCCTGATCAATTTCAATAGATATCAGTAAAAGGTTTGGAACACAAAAATAACAGATCTGTGTTAGGATTACGCATTACTAATGCACCAGAGTGGAGAAAACAGAGTTACAGTGTTAAAAAAAAACATGGGTGTGAAACTAACAAGTGATAGAATTAAAAAATGTGTCTAAAAACTTTAGGGTTTTTTTTTTTTTTTTTAAACTTGCGAGCTGGAGCTGCCAAGAAAAATACACAAAGTAAACTCTCCCCTAGTTGTGGGTATGAATTTTAGTTTCAAAAGGGCACACACAACATGAATGAATGTGTAAAATTGCAAACAAAAATCTTACTTTCTTTATATGAAAATGTAAATATTTCCTGTCTCCCAAGTCAAAGTTCACGTTGAACTGGAAGGTTATCATAGGTTCTTATTTGCACTTACGCAGCACTTTATAATGCATACAGAAGTTCCATAAAAATTCAAATTATATATTGGTTGCATTAAAAATGTAACTGTGTCAAACAGACAATTTCATTTTGTATCAACCGCAGGCCTATGAATCTTATCAAAATTTCATTGTGGCATACCTTTTATGCACTGCCAAGCACAAGATCGCTGGCTAAGAAAATCAATTTAAGATGGTATCATGATGAAACTTATGATTTACACACCTATGACAGACTCCACTTGAAATTTAAACAAAACTTTACAAAATACACTGCTCAAAAAAATAAAGGGAACACAAGGAAAAATAAGACATTCAACTATGTAATGAACAAGGTATTTAATAAGAATATTTCATTCATTCAGATCAAGGATGTCTTGTGTTGTGTTCCCTTTATTTTTTGAGCAGTATATATTAAAGATGACTTCAAATCTAAAGCACTTTGGAAAGGGACTCATGTTTACAATTCTGATGAGCAGGTCCAAATGAACATGCATCTTCAAAACACTCACCGGTGTCTTTGTCTTTTGCTTTGTACACCTGACCGTAGGTACCTTCACCTGTGATTCCAATGATCTCAAACTTGTCCACACAGCGTTTGCCCCAGTCTATCTCAGCTTCTTTTATTTCCCCATATCTCGGACCACAAATTCTGGGAATTATAAGAAAAAATCCCCACAGTGAATATACAGCAAACAGCAGCAAAAAGGAAGATACAAAAAGAGGAAAATGCGCCATAACATACTTAGGTCTTCTGCGAATTGTTTGGGACTTTTTATCCACAGGTGGGCTGTGAGGGGAAGATGTACCACCAGCAAGTTCAGGAGGGAGAGGCAAGTCGGTTAGAAGTTGGCGTAGCTTTTTCTCTGACTTTTTCTTCCCTGAGAGTGAGCTATCCTTCAAGCTGATAGAAAAAGCAGGAGACAAAGCACAAGTGTCTACAACCAAATATAAAGAATGGCACACGAATAAAAATTCTAGGCCAGCACATCTATACCTTTCTCCTTTGTCCACATGATCAAGAATTGTCTGGGGCAGTGGTATGGATACCAGAGGAGAAATGAGTGAACCAGTGGCTCGTTCCTTGTCTTTTCCCTGTCCAGATGCTGGTGCTTTCCTCTTATCCCGATGTACAGCGTCATCTTTACCCTTTCCATCTCTCTCCTTATTGGGCTGGTGCTCTGTGGTCTTCTTTAATGACCTGTCAGACGGGGACTGAGGCTGACTCGACGTGGGAGTTCTGGGCCCTTTCTCTGGTTGTGGTGGAGAGGGAGGGCGACCCTTCCTGGATGTGTGATTGGACTTGGGACTGAGCTGGTGAACTGATGAGGAACCCTTGGTTGGAGTAGATGTGTTGCTGGAGTTCTTGGCCTTGGCAGCTGCTTCTGCAGCTTTAGCCTTTTTCTGCTTACTGAGCTCAGCAGCAAGACTTGTCTTGAAGGTGAGCGTGCTTGGTGAGAGGCTAGAGGGGCGACTGCGGGATCGAGAGTGGCGGTGATGACTGTGCGAACGTGAATGCCTTGAAGATGAATATGGACTTCTGCTACGTGATCTAGCAGATCGTCTAGAAGGAAAATTAGGACACCTTTTTAGCTTGTGTTTCCACACCACAAACCTAGCGTAATGATTTTTACTTGCATGAAACAAATATAATCTAGTGGATAGTTTTTAGAATGTTGCGCCATGAACTGAGTCATACCAAGCAGATTTTTTTCAGCCAGTCTACTAATTGCACAATAAAGCAACCAAGCAAAGGCTTTTTGACAACGCACAAACATGCCAGCAAATGTTTTAATTTTATCCTTGTTTGCTGGAACACATATTTAAGACAGTGAAAATTGCAAAACACTGTTGTGGAGAAATAATACCTAGCTGGTCATAAATATAAAAAAAATCAATCAAATTTTGTGCTGAATTTGGCAGAGCTATGTGTAAAGAAATTTGTCATAAAAAGGCAACATTCCTAAACTATTCATCAACTTTGGAGCTGTGATGGATTATTTTAACAAATTAATTGAATACACCACACAATTGGAGTACAATCAACAAATACAACACACCTCACTATATGAACTCACCTGTTATCTGGACTTGGACTCAGGGACTTCTTGTATGGACTACGTGATCTCCTACGGTTTCCATAAGGACTTGAACCAAACTCTCCTTCATATGGACTGTGTCGGCCATAACTTGGTGACCTGCGCCAGTTCACTGGGCTCACAGGGGAGCGCTTCCTTTTGTTACTAGAATATGAACTGGGTGACTTGGGCATGCCATATGCCCCATATATATCTACATCCCGGCCGTAATATGTGGAACTGGGAGAGAGTCTTTTGCTCCCATAAGTTGGGCTTCTTCTAGATATTGGCTGAGTATAACCACCAGGTGACTGGTAGCTATATGAGAATGATGTCACATAGGGACTGTCTGCTTTAAAACCAGGACTTCTCCTGTATGTCCTCAGGTCTTCCCGGTCTTCTTTGTAAGATTGTGGAGCATCTCTGTATGCAGATGGTGGCTCTTTATCAGATCTTGATTTACTTCTATGACTTTTTGATTCCCTTTTATCTGCAGACTGCGATGACTGAGACAAAGATGTCCTTTTACCATTTCTGTCATCGCTCCTCGCAGTGTCTCTGTGATTTTTAGAGCTGCTCAGGCTACCTCCACTCTTCGCTTTTGAGGAGTCTCGCTCACGGCTCTGACGGTCTTTTTTCCTGCCTAGTTCCTTCTCCTGCTTGTTCCTCTCGGGTGGCCCTCTTGTTTGTTCATCCTTGCTGAAGCATATTGTGTCCCAGTCTCTTGGGTGATTTTTGTCTGGGGATGCTGGTCCGTTATAGTCACCAAAGTCAACATCGCTGAGTCGGTCCACTGACGGCCGGTCAGCATGGGGGTCAAGTTTGGGAGAGGGGCTACCAGAAAATCGCTCTGACTGGGAGCTCACATCATCATACTCAACCAATGTCTGAAGTCCAACCTCTTTTTCAAAAGTGCTTTTTCGATCACTGTCAGGGTGTTCTGTTGTACCGGAAGCCGATGACCGCCTCTTCTCACGGTGTCCCTCACGCTGAGCAGCACCGCTCCCTGGTTTACTACGCCTGTCCTGCCTGTTAGCATTTCTCTGTGCAGAGGGGCTCCGTCCCCGCCCGTCGCGAAGCACCTCTGAATTAGGCATTTATCTACGAAAAACACTATTGCCACGTTGAAATTTACTTTTAAACTATGCACTTTAGCTAAATTATGTCCCCTGTTGTGCCGTGAAATAAAACATTGGGCTAGCTGTGTAACGTGCTAGTAAGCTAACGTTACAGTTAATTCACAACTGGACAGCCAGCTAGCTAACTAGTTAAATCACAAGCTTAGGGTTAGCATTGCAAAGCTACCTCAATTGAGGTTCCACATAAAGCAAGTTAGCATAGAACGGAAATTTATGAAACAACGTGCCACATAATACCCATAATATGGTGCTTAGCTAGTTACAGAGCCAGTCAATACTCAACCATTGTACTCCTGGATGGATATCTTCCAGACCTGCTAGTTCATGCTAATCGGTTAAGCCAGCTAGCTCCCACTAGCTGTATCCAACTAGACAGCCGCATTCCATTTCATGGTCAAAGCACAGGCCGCTACAAATATAAAATCCAGTTGAGACGTTACAGTTCGTGGAAGCACGGACATCCATTCGCCTGATAATGTTAATTTGAAAGTTAAAAATTCCGTCTCTTTTTCAAAAACTTCTCGCCTTCCATCACACTCCAATGTGCAACAAGGAAGTGAATAGCACGCGAGTTGGCCGGATAGCCTCGGCTAGCTGGTTAGCCGCTAACAATTTATCCAGCTAGCTTTCTTTTCTCCTTGCGTGGAGTTCAAGGCAACTCAGTCAAGATGCACTTAAACAATGCCATTGACACACAGTTCTACTTCAACGTGTCCAGCGTTGTTCCCTCTGACAGCCGCACTGCCCTGCAGTAACACACGCATTTCCAGGTAAAATGGCTCAGGAATCCCTTGAATTTATTTGAAAATATTGTACAAAGTTAGCAACGTAGCTAACAGCACAGCTCTGCTGGACCCAGACGGCGCTGAAACTACAGGCCTTGTGCGTCGGTGTGAACCAATGATCGCCGTGTGCGTAATCGACATGCATAATCTACATGGATGGTGCGTCACCACAAAGGGAAACCCCTACCTTCAGATTCTAACACCACTCATAACAGTTTATTGAAGATATAGCCTAATTAGAATAAAACTTGTTCATTGCCACGTATTCTGTGAACTCACTAAGCCTAGTAAAACACATTTAAAAATCTTACATAACATATTCAAAGTTTTAGTTTCAGGCTTTGCTGGTGTACAGTACATGTACCATTTGTAGAAAAGACCTGAACTTGACCACATTTTGGTCACATTTTAGTTGTTACTTCCAACATTGTAACCACAGCTTTAAACTTTCTCTTGAAGAGGTTTGTTATTGTACATGTGTTTCTTCAGAAATGTCTTTAAAGAATGATTACTTTTCCTTTGTTAATTTACAGATTTTATAAAGTCTAAAAACTAAAACACAGTACAGCCTATGCACAGTTAACTATTTTTGAAAACAGAGTTCAGTCTGCCTTTATTGTATGTTAATGTAGTTATTTATTTTTAGTGCCATTGTCCTTGTCCTATTTTCAGAAATATGGGCTGCACCAAGCTGTCTTTATGTGCACAAATATTATAGCTTAACACAAGGGCAATTTAACTATGTCAAATTTTGTTTTAAATTGTAAAAAAGAAAGCAACCAACAAATATGGCTGATTTGTGGTGGGTTTTGAGATTATTAACAGATACTGGAAACTGAAAACATGAAATCCCCAGCTTTTCATGAAACGCGTCCCCAGCAATCAGGAAGTTACATGGCTGACATCATCAAGATGTTCTTAAAAAAGAAAGAACACAATCTGGTGGAAATACCACTAGTGCAGCCTAGAGTGCCATGATGTTCTGACAACGCTGTTCCATTTTGAAAGATTGGGGACCTATAAGGTGAGTGGCAACTCAGCATCTCATGGACATACGAGCAGCAAAACGCGCAAAGTCCTCTGAGTAACTTTCCTTTGTAAGATCTGTCAGCCTGCTCACCACAAAGACTCAAGTCAAAGACAAAGACAAAGCTTCACAAAAATGAATACTTGACTACAGTTGGAAAAGGTTATTAGTAATATCCACTTTATTTGCCATTTCCAAATAACACACAAAATTAAGTGAAATGTAAGCTTCACGTCTTGCATTCACAAACAGATAAGCTACATTAGTGGTTATGTTCAAAATAAGTCAACATAAAGGAAACATTAAACTGATGGCATACATACAACCATCCAATCATATATACACATACACACACATATATATATATATGTGTACACATATAATTCCAAGGGTATTTATATAAAAGGCAACAAAACCACTTTTTGAATACCCAGTAGGATGGCTTGCACAACCATGTGTTTTCATATTCTGCTGAAAATATTCAGGCCATCAAATCCATTAAACTATGTATAAAGAGAGATGAAAAAGTAGAATTATGATAATGTTTCTTGAACATGAATGACAGTGTTAAGCCAATGTTAGAAGCAAAGCAAACACCAGTGGTCACTTTAAGAGTAGTAGCTTCTGCAGTCCTCAACAATGAAGAGGAAGGTACGCCACAACTGACTGATTCTTAAACTGTCAGTTTCTGTGCCTGTCACTTTCACTTTGAAGGGTGTTCAGTCGTGGAATGGTGTGTTGGAGGTTAGCCCTTAGAACATATTAAACTTATCTACTTTCCGAATATCATGGGTTCCTATTACTCTGGGTTTTTAGGTTCCCTCACAACCTGTCACATTTCCAGGTTCAGTCGCTTATTTCAGCAAATAAAAAATACACGGCGATGCGCCACTGTATTTTTGTACAATTAACAAACTGAAATATATGACAAACAAAGCCTGCAGTCAAAGCCAGAAATTCTTTTGTGCTCATGCTAAATCAGAGAATCAGTGAGACATAATGCTTCTTTTGAATGATTTTTCAGGCTATGGTCATACCTCTAAACAGCATTCAACCTCAAGTGCTTCACATTTCAAATTCGGCTCCTCTTTGCAATTACAACATCAGCATAGACTGCAGTGTCCTACTCATTAAGGAAATCCTGTAATGTAAATGGTGAACTACTGCTGCTGGCAATGAAAGCTTAAATCATTTTTAACAACTCAGAGATGGCTGACTATAAAAATTACTAAAATGAAATAAGTTATTTAAAATAAGATACAAGTGTTGTGGTATGCAAAAAGAGTGGCTCAATCATAAAGGGAAATTAGGAGAATGGATGGGCAGATTTCACAATGTGTTTTAGTTTATGTAATTCAGATGTTAATCATTCTCATTTAGCCAATTCTATTCTGCTTTAATCTTCACTTGCATGTAAAAATGTTCAGCTATTTCATTAAGACATTAATACAGCGTGGTTACACTGGGTAGATTGGCTTGCACAGAATGTGACAAAGGTAAAACAAAGGAGAATATTAAACGCCCTTTACACTCTGTACATCATTGGCAGCCTAAGATTACAGGCTGAGCAACAGGATGAGCATGGAGGGGTTATTCACATTCACAATGGACAGAGGCAACAGTGATGCACTGTACACGAAAAGCCCTCGTAACCTTGAATTTCTTTCCCAGGCCATTCAGAATTAGAACTTGCTCAGACATCCTTTCAACCTTTCATCTCCGTGGATTTTACAAAAACAGATTTAATGCAAACACTGCAGTGTTTACTGTTTATGGGGAAAGTTGCCAGATATCATTCACTTCAATTAATAAGTGGGCACTTGTTTGTACTAGCTAGCATTTTTCTTTGGTAACAGAGAGCAACATTTTTTTGGAAATGTACCACATTACTTCTATCAAACCTATATTAAATTTTTGACATTTTATGCCACAAAACAAAATGTCAGTTAATTTATTCCCACTTTAGTCCCACTATACATTTAAAGAGAGGGGAATGAAAAGTTTGAACCAGGAACAGTAAAACTGGCAAAAGCATTCTTTACATGTCTGAAGAAATCAATTTTAATCAAGATGAAAAGGATGTAGTGTTATGGAATCACCTTTTATCAGAGCACCAGGGATTCCGTCATCTCAAGGAAAAAAAAAACCATAATAAAAGTCATTAGTGTGAGGTAAAACTTCTGAAATGTTAGTATTGAAAAAAGTTCAAGTGTTGTAAAATCCCTCACAGGTTTATGGGTAAAGATCAATGTTTGTGCATTTGACAAGACTCTGAATGACTGGCAGGAGAAATAAAATAAAAAGTGCACTTATTGTACACTGGTTGATATGATACAGGAGAAGAACTGAAAAAACTGACTTCACAGATAAATACAAGTGCCCATAAAACATAACAGATTGTAAAACTGAAATGTAAAACAAGTGGAAATGGCATCAAATTTAGGCTCTGGGTTAGGCAACACAATGATCTTTCAATCTAAATGCTTCAGAGATTCACCAGTGCAATGTGGCACTAGATGCCTTCTGGGTTACTAAGTCTGTTAACTTATACTTTCTACCAAAGACTATTGAATAATTATAATATTTAGGACTTTCCAGTTTTGAGCTCCAGTTAATTTTTTCCCTTTCAAATGTTGGCTCTGACACTTTCATTTTATCTTTTCCCTTGAACCGAATACAATTCTACACATCAAACTTTACAATGAAAACCTTCGGAGCATTTCAGGCTTAGCCTTTTGTCAAGCTTAGGCCTCAATTAAAACACCACCCATTTATTACACTCTATAATGTGGTCAGAGTAAGAGAGTGAATACATAAATTATTTGGGGTGTCAGCACAACAAAGGTTAGAGCTATAAATGGTGTATGGGGTGCCACCTTACTACTCCCTGCCACACTGTCAGCTAGGAACAGAAAGCCATGGTCAGGTAAGGGCACAAAGTAAATGCAAAAGTCTGAGAAATGTATATGTACATAAGCAGCCACCCTGTTCTTTTACCACTATAAAATACAGCATCTCTCTCTAATTCTTCTGGCCAAACTTTTACTCTTTTTCTTCCCATTCTTCTCTTTGCTGTCCTCCATTTTTCTTGCCCGAATCTCTCTCATCAGGTCAAAGAACACCTATTTAGAAAATAAAGGTCCTGTTATGACCATTTATAAGTAAAGTTTATTTAGCCAGGTTAATGCTTCTCTTTAGCTATTAGACTAACCTTGTCAACATTGGCACGGGTTTTGGCAGAAGTCTCCACATAGCACACGCCCCACTGCTCAGCACGCGCCTTCGCCTCGTCTGCATTTACCTGCCGACGGTCATCCAAGTCTGACTTGTTACCAACCAGAAGGAAGGGCACATTCTCATCCTCCTTCACTCGCAGAATCTGCTCTCTGCAAAACAGGAAATATCACTCAGCAAACAGACTACTGATTTATAATGCATGTCCATCACATACTATTTTATGTAGATCAGGTCAAAAGGTACCCCTCTTTTAGAAGGGAGCCATGGCCAACAAGTATCACTAGTTCCAGACAAAGCTAACACATACAACACTAAAACAGTGGATGAAATATACAAAAGCTAAGAACAAAGGTGGTTATAAAATAGTATCAGGACCAAGAATTAGAAGAGCTAAGAACGGGGAAAAAAAACACCTGAAAAGGAATTCAACAATGAGTTTACAATAGTTTCAAATTCTGTCAATGATATCACGTTCCCCAAATAATTTCCCTCTGTAACCTCTTCAAAGTGGCTGGAGCAGAAAATATGAAAGCTTTCTTTCCCATCTCTTTCCAAACACTGGGGACAGACAGCAGGTAAGTATCTTGTGATCTTAGATTAAGACTGGAAAATGAGTTCCTTGAAATAAGTTTTAAAAGGTATGGGGGCAGTTAAATTACATAACTAAAAGTATACTAATGACTGAAACAGTGAACAGAAAGAGATGACCGGCCAACACTGGAGTACAGATCACATCATAATGCACTGTGACAGAGTCCAACCTGTCATCGAAGTCAAGAATTGACTTTTTAAAAGCCAAGCATTTTTAAAACACTTTTACATAAAAAAGAATCCATTAATAACCAGAATTCTATTGAATGGCAAAGGATTTTGTTAAACCACTGTGTGCTACTACACCTGAAGTCTACTGTTGCTGCAAAAGATTCCAGTTCTGTGATGGAAAATACACAGAGGAAACCCTCGCCACTGCGAAAGTAGTTATCCCGGATGGCTGCATAGTCCTCTTGTCCGGCTGTGTCGAGGATGTCAATCTGTACCTCCTCTCCATCCAGCACCACTTTCTTTCTATAACTGTCTGCTTTGGTTGGTTCATAGTCTTCAACAAACTAGAGGAGGAAAAAAAAGGCTCATTATTCCAACAAGACTTTAGCTTACAAACATTTTGAATTCAGACTTGATTGCTGTGATCTAGGTTTCTCACCTCATCATACATGAACTGGAGAGTGAGGGCTGATTTCCCCACTCCTCCGCTGCCCACCATGATCACTTTGTGAAGGGCTAGAGAGTTTTGCCCCTTTGGCTTAGCAGCTGCCATGGCTCTGTGTACCAAGAGATCTCAGCGTGAAAGCAAAAAAGTCCAAATGAAGTGAGAGGTGGAGGAAGGTATGGTGAAATGAAGTCCGTAAAAATCAGCCTGAGGATGAGCAGCAACAGAAGCTCAGTTCTTTGGGAGAAAGACAAATAAAAGAGAGAAGTAATCACCATAATCGCTGAGTCTCTAGATTCAATTTCTAGCAACCCCTGCATCTTATATCAATAAATCCAACCGCAATAAAAATCAAAACCATGAGAAACTGCCATTACAATACAGGTGTAGTGCAGACAATTGCTCTCTGTTCATAGTTAAGACTGCAGCAGATACAACAGAAGAGTAAATACTGGCACTAAATGATGCATTACAAATTGTGGACATATCACACATCACTTAATGCAACTATAGTGAATCCTGTTCTTATTTTATTCTTTGCAAGGACATAAAAGTCATTACAGGCAACAGTAACACACATGCCAACATTTGCCCACACAACAGGCAGAACATATCTGGATGATACAAACAAAAACCAATTTTAGTACTTTATTATTTAATTTTATATTCTGCATGAAGCTTTCAGTCAGAAAGTTTAATTTATGGTAAGTCTTAAATCAGATGCTCCCTTGTGAATGCAATTATATTTTGCAGCCTGATTTCAAGCGCAAATAAACATGTCTGGCAAACACAAATAAACATGTCAGGCAAACACAAATAAACATGTCAGGCAAGCACAAATAAACTTCCAGCCTGTGAGTAAATACAGCTTGTGACATCCTTTGAGAAAACCTTGTAAAATCGATGGCACACAAAGAAGCAAATGTAGCTCAACGTATTTGCATTGATGACATTGTTATTAACAGTGGCTTTTAGGTTCCTGAAGAATATTGTCACCATTTCTAAGTTATATGATCGAGACATCAGAAAAGTCTCGAGGAACGGATATATGAAATGAATGGCAACGGGCAGTATTAAGGTTATACTTATAACCTTAGCTTAGTTCTAAGTTAACGCCATGGTACCAGCTAAACAAATGTATTAGCAGATCATTAGTTTGCAAGTAAATAACACAGCCATGACAAGAACGTACTATTAGCTAGGAAAGTGACAGATAGTTAAGTTACACCATATTATTACAACAACAGATAACTTAAATCACACATAACAATATATCGTGCGAATAATGTTGTTATGACTTACTAGCTGGTTAGGTGGTGACACAACAACTGCAGGTAACTAGGCTAACGTTAGCTACTAGGTTGACTCCAGAGGGCGGTGTCGCTAACAAGCTAACTAACCTATCAAGAAGGTTAGCCTGATCGTCACCTGATCGTTAATTAACACCCGAGGGAGTTCCCGGTGAAGGTGTCCGCTCAGCTAATGTGTAAAAGACAAATCCCAGCAACAGATATTTGGTCGACGCTCTCAACCTCACAGCGTCTCCCTCACTAGCCACCCAGGGTGGCTACAGAGGCAAAAGGCTAGCAAGCGAAAACCAGAAGCTAATCACAACTAAACGATGCAACGTCAAAAAGACCAAGAAGATCAGCAACACAGCATTTGTGTAGACAACATCACCTACCAAATTAACAAATTTCACCTTGGCACAGCGTTCGACGAAGGCTGAATTATGGTGTCAAATTGAAAAGACTCGGCTAGCTACTTGTTAGCTCATGATTAGTTCCCTGGCTAACTCTGATAGCTGCTAGCAGCAGACTGATTGCACGTCATGTGGGCTTGGCTCCCTCTGACAACGCCCGCCCGCCTGGGAAAACCACACAACTCTCACTTTACCTTCAGTTTAAATGTAACATTACTTTCTCATTTATAAAAATGTTGCTGAAAACTCATAATAACTACACATGATGTAATAAAACTAATATTGTAAACATCTTCCAGTAATAATAATAATCTTCCAATAATAAAATTGACAATTTTATCACATTATTGAATGGTAATGACTGCAATGTAATATCTCTTTGCACAGTGGGATCCTTCTCACATGATATAGCATATTTTTATCATCTTGACTGTTTGGCTAAATTTAACTTCTCCCTTTTGGAGGAATATAAGGTCACCCCAAATCCCTGTTACCAAGGTTATTTGAAAGCAGGCCTCTTATTTGTTCTGGGCTACCTGGAGAAAAGTGATAATTGCACTTATTTTTAAACTAGTTACTGAATGGTTTCCATAATATTATGATGTGCTTCGACTCAGGAAGTGTTGTGGTACTGCACTGAGAGTGAGATCATCTTTCCAGAAACACACAAAGCTTTGTTTGATCAGCAGTCTGCTCATAAAGAGTTATCACATCTTTACTCGGATTCACCTCTGGCATATGTGTAGTAAGTCTTTGAAAACAAAACAAAGTTGCTTGACTTTTTTATTTTATTTTATTTTAAATTGGTTTTTTTATGGCCTTAGCTTATTTTGTAGTTTGTTTAACACTGTGCTGTTTGACAAGGCATTTACTGCTAGTTGCAGTACACAGATAAACCATGGACCATGTGGTCCATTTTTTGGAAGACAATGTGCAGATGTACTATATCACATTTAGGAGTCCAAAATTTCAAGGCTTCATGGTGTGTTTTACACTCAGCAAAAAGATTACAAAGTGCTTTAAAGTGTATTTGCTTTGCTATAATAACTTGTGTGCTGATGCACTGTGGGGAGAGTCTGGGTTAGTTTTCTTTAGATTTGTCATGAGTGGAGCAGGTAGATAATACTTTTGGATAATGCAAAGTGAAGTCTGGCAGTGGTCAGTCTCTGGAGTCAAGCAAGAACACTTAATTATTTGGTGATGTGTGGTCCAAAGGCAGCTGGGCTATTGTAGTTTGCTGCCAGCACTGATGCTAAAAAGTAAAAGTCCTGAGGGCAATGCACGGTGTGTTTGGACAGCCCCAGGTACAAAAAGATTGCAGCCTCCTTGGCTTACTCAGCCCAAAGTGTAAATCATAAGTGTCAACAAGTCCCTTGACCATGATGTGATGCAGTTTGTGTGTTGCATAATAGGATGGGTTGGGAGGACCAGGGGATGTTTATACAAGGATGACAGCCAAACAACTAGTCCATTGTTGTGTTTGTTTTCCTCCCCTCTGTCCCATAATAGGTTACACACTGAGATGATTCCAAACACTATGAGCCACTGGTTAGATCCCAGTAGAAGCCCCAGGAAGTGTGTAACAGCAAACAAGCAATATTCTGATTAAAAAAAGCATGTATTTTAGTACATGTATTTGCTATATGCTAAATAACAGCTGAGTTGAGGGGGTGCTGCTGCCTTGTGTTTGGGTGGGGGAGGCCCAGCACAAAGAATCCATGTTGTAAGTGTGGTTTCCAACAGTTCATTCACAATAATCCTTTTTCCTCTGCATGTTGTCTTCCTACACAATCATTACAGCTAAATATCATCACAAAGCCCAATGAGTGCCCTTTGTAAATGTTGAGGTAAGATAGATGGTAAACTTAAATTTTGACATTTCACTTAAGCCAGCAGCCCTGTTACCTCCTAAACTATAAAGAGGCCAATTAAACAAATACTTAAAGAGAAATTATTTTAGATCCACTTGCTCATTTGACCATTTACACAGGTTAAAGAAACTGGCAGCCATCTTCACCCAGTTCAATATCCCTAGAGACAAGTACACACTCCGAAAACATTTTTATTTCGCATAATTTGAACTTTAAAACCTAAAAACCTACTACAAAGTAGAGCTCAGTTGATTAGTCAGTTAATATTATTAGCATTTCTCAGCTGATAAAGTATGGACTAGAACAAAACAGCCACATTTTTGAGATAACTGTAAATATAATGTGATGTCAGTTATCAAGTCAAATGACAGCAGTATAAGTGTGTTATAAATGTACCACAGGGAACATAGCATATGTTAACATCCTGGCTTGTCCCGAAATTACTGATTTTTGGAATAATGTCAAGACCTAGCTTTGTGACCCTGCTTATCAATGTAACACTGAACCCTTTAGTCTGTGTCTTAGGTTTAGATGCAATGTGATGTCAGTTATCAAGTCAAATGACGGCAGTATAAGTGCGTTATAAATGTACCACAGGGAACATAACATATGTTGACATCCTGGCTTGTCCCGAAATTACTGATTTTTGGAATAATGTCAAGACCTAGCTTTGTGACCCTGCTTATCAATGTAACACTGAACCCTTTAGTCTGTGTCTTAGGTTTAGATGGTACAGCAAAAGAAGTTAAGTGTATTTTTAGGGTTGATATGTGGCAAGATTTTGTAAGCCTATTCTTAGGGAAGATGTGGACAGACACACTCCTTATGTGGACAGGCACACTTCTGAATATTTTTTCATGCAAAAAGCAAAAACCAACTGGGCAAATTCATGGATGTAAGAGAAACTGTCACAAGCAGTATCAGGAAGGATACACACCAAAGGACTTCCTCCAGTCAGGGGTGTCGGGTTGTTTGCCTTTAGGTGTTTGTTTTGTGTACTGTAAGCATTGAGACTATTATTATACTATTTTGTATTGTAATCTGTAGCCATCTTGTGATATTAACAAGTTGGGGTGTAGGAACAGATTTAAAGAGGAGGCGCACTTTGTTAGTGTACCAATGTTAATCCTCATAAATGTGATACGCTTAATATGAAATGCAAAAAAAAAAATATTTAAGAAGGGCGAAAATAGGACAATAAAGCATCGCCCATCACGTACTCTCCAGTTCTTCCTCTGTAATTTTTAACAGATGTGACCATAGCTCATATTCCCCTGCAGAGGGCGCCATTACCCAAACCAGTGATGAGAGGTTCACTGAGTGCAAACCACCACGGGGAGACAACAGATGAGCACTAGTATGTATGGTTTGTCTTTGTCATTTATAGTGGTAAACAGGTTGGCTTTTGTTTTTAATGTGTTGATTGAATAAAACAAGCTATTTCAATACATTACCTTGGAGAGGGGTACATGACAATCTCAAAAATCATGAGTGTGTGCACTGAAAAACTTTGTGTAATGGAAACTCAGTAAGACATTTCTTATTTCTCTGAGCACCCTGTACACAATTTTCCCGATACAGCACTAATCTGTATTCTATCAAGTACGTTTCCATCTCATGCAGAAAAGTAAAAATGTGCCTAAAACGCATCAAACAAAAGAATAAAAGTTACCTTTGATGAAGTGAAATTATTGGCGCAACATTAATAGGCGTATCTGGTCTGCATGCATGGAAATATCATTTTAATCCAGTGGTAACTACTGGCTGTCTGCATTTAGAAAGGAATTTAACATTTATCCAGAATATTAAGCCACTTGTCAACGGCAGACAACTGGTTTTGTCCAGTCTCTTTATATCTAGATCCAATATGACTGCTAATTATAGAAACATTCCGACATTTGTGGTCAAACTATCCTGTTCTTTCGGTAGATCTTTAAACTTAGAATGAGATTATGTGTCCTCACTTCTCATTGGTTAAGTATATTTCTAGTAATAGACACGTGATGACCTAACGCCTAAATATTAGTGATTTACAGCGGAAATGAGAGGAGATTGACACTGTATGTATTGTGCCACCCCAGAGCTAGAGAATATTATTGATTTGTTCATTTAAAAAAAAGATAAATATGAAACACCATTCTTTTCCGATATTGTATCGTAATATGATATAATATCACTGTTTCTGGGGCACAGTCTCGGCCTTAACTTTTTATCTTCTAATATTCACATCTCCTTCTCTGGTCTGCGGTCTCTTTAAATCTAAACCCAGTGGACGAGAGCTGCGCGTCCTCACCAAGTTGTCTGGCCTCTGTGATTGCCCGCACTCAGGCTGATAAACAGCTGCTTGCCGTCTACGGCACGTCACTAAGCTTTCCCCAAAGTTACCCCCTCGAATCGGGATTTTAGTGTACAGCTCTCTCGGTGTATCTGTGGATGTTCAGTTCTAGAAAGTCTGCACCGCTGGAAGTTCAAGTCTGGATTTGCCTAATGCTGAGGCGTCCTCTGCTCAACATCTGGATTAACTATTTGGAGTCAGAACTAGCGGCCGTGCACAAAAGCTTGCCTCTCTAGTCTGCTTTTATGGAAAAACTGTCGTTTTATTTGGATTTTAACTCCCTTTGATAACCTGCGTTTTGCGCATAGATTATGTATTCTTTAAAATGGGTGCGAACAATGGAAAACAGTATGGAAGCGAGGGTAAGTGTGATCAATTAGCATGTTTTATTTGAATTCCACTTTGGAGAACAAGATTTTTTAAAATCAAACCTTCGTAAAAATAGGCCATGGTGTGCCAGCTATTAGCGACAGTTTCGCTTGTTTGCCCAACTAAACTAGAGCAATGTGCAGTTACTGGGTAGCTTCCTTGAGGATATACCTATCTATACACCCTGTATAACCTCAACTTTCTTACAGTGAGGGTATTATCTGCTTGTATAGAGGTTTCTTTACACCCTCCTTCATTAAGTCAAGAATGTGTTGTGATGTAGCTACGACAATACTGTGGCTACTTTTGATTTTTAATTGCGTACTTTTTTCTTTTGAACATTTTTAAAGATGTGCAACGTTTACATATCAGATAGAGAGTGACATCTGGTGGCCATATTTTAAACACTTTAAAACAATTTCCAGCTCCAGGCTACTGTACAACACATAAAAAGTGCAAACAAAGTGCAAACTGCGTTAGTCCAGTCACTTC